TGTCATGGAGACAGCTTCTTTCCTGAAACTTCAAGAACCAACCTCTGCTAGCTTCAGACTTGTCTTCTGCAGCTTCCTCCCCTCTCTCAGCCTTCATAGAACTTAAGAGAATTAGGACCTTTCTCTAGATTAGACTTTGGCTTAAGGAAATATTGTGGCTTATTTGATCTATCCAGACCTCTAAAACTTTTTCCGTATCACTTTCTTCTCATTTGTGTTTTCACTGGAGTGGCAGTTTTAATTTTCTTTAAGAACCTTTTCTTTGCATTGACAAATTCATCAACTGTTAGTGAATTGCATTTATTAACTGCTTGGTGAAAGAGGCCTAGCTTTCAGCTGATCTCAACTTTCAGCATGCCTTCCTCACAGAGCTTAATCATTCTTAATCATTAATAAACATGGGAGGCGGAAGTCTCAGTGAGCCGAGATTTTGCCACTGCACTCCAGCCTGCGCAAAAAGAGTGAGACTCCATCTCAAATAATAATAGTAATGATAATAATAATAATAATTCTAGCTTCTGATTTAAAGTAATAGATATGTGACTCTTCCTTTCACTCAAACAGTTAGAGGTCGTTGTCGGGTTATTAATTAGCCTAATTTCAATATCATTGTGTCTCAGGAAACAGAAAAGCCCAAGGAGAGGAAGAGATATGGGGGAATGGCCAGTAAATGGAGAAGTCAGAATACACACAAAATTTATGGATTGAGTTCTCCAGCTTATAGTGGCATTCCCAAGCAATCGTGATAGTAATATCAAAGATCACTGATTACAGAACACTATAGCAGATATCATAATGATGAAGATTTAAAATGTTTTGTGAGGATTACCACATGTGACACAGAGAAACAAAGTGAGCACATGCTGTTGGAAAAAAGGGCATTCATAGACTTGCTCAATGCAGGATTGCCATGAACTTCCAATTTGTGAAAAAAACAGTATCTGTGAAACACAATAAATCAAAGCGTAATAAAACAAGGTACACCTGTACACAACTCAATAATTGTTAGTATATTCACAGAGCTGGGCAATCATCATCACAGTCAACTTTAAAAAAATTTCACCAACCCAACAAGAAAATCTAAATGTATTAGCCTACATTTCTCATTTCCTCCCAATCTCCCCCATGCCTAATCCTGGGCATACAACTAAACTATTTTCTGTCTTTATAGATTTTACTATTCTAGACATTTCCTACATATAGAATTGGTATAAATTATAGGCTTTGTTTGGTGACTGCCTTCTTTCACTTAGCACAATGTTTTTAAGGTTCATTATGTTGTAGCATATATCAATGATTCATTTTAAAATTGATGATCAACTAATATTCCATTGTATAGACATAGGACATTTTCTTTATTTTTTCCTCTGTTGAAGTACATTTGAGTTGCTTCTACTTTTAGGCCATTATGAATAATGCTGGAATATTCATGTACCAGTTATAAAATAAATGTATGTTTTTGTTTCTTTTGGATATATGCTAGGTCATATGATAGCTCTATGTCTAACATTTTGAGAAACTGTCAGATTGTTTTCCAAAGTTGCTTTACCATAGGTCATATGATAGCTCTATGTCTAACATTTTGAGAAACTGTCAGATTGTTTTCCAAAGTTGCTTTACCATTTTGCCTTTCCATCATCAGTGGCATAAAGGTTCAATTTCTCCACATTCTCATCAATACTTATATTTCTGTTCTTTAGATTGTAGCTATCTAGGTGGGTGTGAGGAGTTATCTCATTATAGTTTTGATTTGTTTCCCTAATGATTTATGATGTTGACAATCGTTTTTGTGGTTTTTGGACATTTGTCTATCTTCTTTGAAGAAATGCCTATTCAAATAATTTGCCCATTTCAAATTAGATTGTCTTTTTATTATAAAGTTGTAAGAGTTCTTTGCATATTTTAGAGACGAGTCCTTATCAGATGTATGATTTCCACATATTTCCTACCTATTTTCTGGGTTGTCTTTCCACTTCGTAATTGTGTTTTCTTGAAGTAAAATTTTTTAATTTTGATGAAGTCCAACTTACCTATTTTTTCTTTCATTGTTTGTGTTTTTGGTGTCATATCTAAAAGGCTAAGCCTGACCTAAAAAGATTTACTGCTATGTTTTCTTCTCAGAGTTTTACACTTTAGCTCTTACATTTTAGTCTATTTTCCATTTTGAGTTGACTTTTGTGTATGGTGTGAGGAAGGGATACAACTTCATTCTTTTGCATGTGGATATACAGTTGTCCTAAAGGGTTACCTTCTATATATAGATAAGTTTGGAGGAAATTAACATTTTAAAGGCATTGAATTATCCACTCCATGAGCATGATATAGCTCTCCATTTATTTCAAGCTTTTTTGAATTTCTCTCAGGAATGTTTTTGTAGCTCTCAGTTCTATGTACATTTTGTTAAATGTATTTCTAAGTAGTTCATATCTTTTGGTATTGTTCTAAACATTTTGATTTCTCAAAGAACTAAGAATAGAACTACCACTCTATCCAACAATTTCATTACTGGGTGTCTATCCAAAGGAACATAAATCATTATATTAAAAAGATACCGGCTCTTACGTGTTTATTGTAGCACTGTTCACAAGAGCAAAGTTATGGAATCCACCTAGTTCTGTCCTCATATCCTTCCTCTCTGGGACAGATAAATGGGAACAGTAATGTGAGTCAGCCATAAACAGCCTTTCTAGGAGAATTATTTCTGCCTTTAGATCTGCTTAGAGATAATTCTCATTTAACAAGAACTTACCCTGTTTGTCTCAGCAAAAATTAACAAAAATTGTAATAGAAAGAATAACCTTATTTCTTCACATTTCTTTATTATTCTTGTAGCCCTTATGCTGAAAATGTGCATGTCTCATTGTTAGTCTCACTATTGTTGCTTCCTTTCATGCTTATTTACACAGTGCTGGGTGCTGGCTGATCCTGATGCCACCCTAATAGGTGGGTAATATTTTGATCTTATTTTAAAGATAATCTCCCAAGGGTGACACTTCTTTAAAAACATTTTGACTCCAGGGGAGATCTCATTAAGTCTAAGTTTTCTCATCTTCAGACGAGATCGGGCACGTTCAGGGTGGTGTGGCCGGAGACAGTTTTCTCCTCTTCAAACTGAGGAAGGGACCCAAATAATGATTTCTTTTCTTTTCTTTTCTTTTTTTTTTTTTAAAAGACAGGGTTTTACCATGTTGGTCAGGCTGGTCTTGAACTCCCAACCTCAGGTGATCCGCCCACCTTGGCCTCCAAAGTGCTTGGATTACAGGTCTGAGCCACCACACCTGGCCCAAATAATGATTTCTAAGTCCCAACCACTTCTGACACCCTCAAGTGGGTCGTTCGCAGAATTGCAGGGATGTCTCTAGGTGCAGCGCTGGTTCTTGGACCTTTGAAAGGGTGATTCTCAGTGCTAGTCTGAGGGTTGAGAAATTTCAGTCATCTCTGCCCAGTGGCCTTCTCTTGTCCTCCCCACTGTAATCTCTTTTACCTCCCACCTTCCTTTTACGAGTGTTTTCCTAGCCTGGCAGGGCAAGTATTACCTGATAAAAGTCTAAATAAAGACCTGGACTCAGAAAGGAGGAAACTGCTCTCTACCCAAATCCTATTATAACTCTGAGATTTCCCTGCTGCTCTGGAATTTACCCTCTCTCTTTCTCTGACACACACACAAATTAACATTTAATCAAGGATTTTTAATGTATTTTCCCACTATAAACATTTCTCATGTTAATGATAGTTCCTAATCTGGTCTTAAGGACAAATTGAGGTACTTTTGAGATAATAATTAGAAAAAGAACATAAAACCTCCTCATTATCACAGGGGAAATTCATCTTGAATTACATCAGTTTCTATAATCTGATAATTCTATGGTTTCCCAGGCAAATGTCACATTTGGTCGAGGAAGGAGACTTTGAATCATGGGTCACAGGTTTCAGAGGTCATTTTTAGCCTTTAATATGAGGCCTCAGCAGAGAAGTAATTTCTTGTTCTGCTTCTGAAATTCTGATCCACTCAAGTTGAAAGCCACATTTAAAAGGCAAGATTTTTGGCTGGGCATGGTGGTTCATATCTGTAATCCCATACTTTGGAAGGCCAAAGTGGGAGGATCACTTAAGGCCAGGAGTTCAAGATCAGCCTGGGCGATACAGCAAGAACCTCTCTCTACATTTGTTTTTAAAGCAAAGCAAAACAAAACAGTTGAGGTTTCTGTTGAGTGTGTGTAACAACCACCTGTAGCATAAAGTCATCTGAGCCCGTGCTCAGTTCTCTGGGCTTCAGACCTGGCTTTGCTGCAAACAGTCTGCTTGCTTTTAGTAAATTCACTTGGATTGTCTGGACCACATTTCCTCATCTCTAACTGGCTGACTTGGAAGTCGTTGAATTGATTTTATCCATCAATAAATGTTGAAACTGCTCTGACTTAATGATAGGTTGTGAGAATTAAGTGATAATATTTGTGGAAGAGATTTACTGTAACTCTTTGTCATGTAAGCTTTGTTATTCTTTCATGGTAAATTTACATGTTGATAACTTAATTAATTTTCACTGTGTTCTCTAACTTGTAAAATAAAGGCATGGAATTAAAAACTAAAACATTACCCACAACTATCTCTGTCTTCTCCTCATGCAGAGATCATGTCTGTTCAGTTCACTGATGTATTTTTTCCCAGCACTGTGCACAGGGCATGCTGTATAATACGTGTTAAATAAATGAAAAAAAAAAAAAAAAAAAAAAAGAAAGGGCTTATAAACACAAAATGGCCGAACTTTCAGATAATACAGAGAATGAAAACAATTTTCTAATTTTAAACTTGTGAAGATTTTTAAAATAATGATTTCTCTTTTGGATGCGTGTCAGGTAAAATGGGCTCTCGGGTAGATGGTGGGAATGTAAATTGGTACAAACTTAATTGAAAATAATTTGGTATCAAGAATCTTAAAAATGCCAAGGAAACTTATTCTTGTTAAAGAGTTTCACTTGCAGTATTTATTGTGTTTAAAGTTTGTCTAGGTTCCAAACTGCAGCTGACCCCAAGAAAGTCAACAACCTGGCCTTTTTAAAAGAGATGCAAGACCTGGCCGAGGAAATTTGTGGAATGATGGACAAGGCAAAAAACTTACAAAGACGTTGGGTAGAGCAAACCAAGACTCCAGGCAAGTAAATCTTTCATAACTCTGATACTACCTACCTGGACACAGCTTGGGGAGAGCTGTGGAGAATGTGAGAGCCCAGAATGTTTAAAAAATGCTTAAATCCTTCCTGTGCTAAACTCTCATTGTAACTGTTTGATGGATGAAGCCAGCACTTGCAGATGGTTGTGGAGGGCAAAGAAGGATTCTCCCTCCTTGACTCCCTGGGAAGATACCTTGTGCAGTGCACCCACTGTACACCTTTAGAGGGCTGCAGCCCATCCTGACTTTGTCTTCACAGTTATGTTCTCACCACTCTGCCTACTCCATCATGTTCTTTGGCTGTCTTCCTTTCTTGCTTTTCCTTAATCTGTTTTTAATATATGTCCCCACCTTTCCCAAACACATACACACGCAAATGCACACCCCCCCATCTCTTTCTCTCTCTCTCTCTTTTTCCCTCTCCCTCTCTCTCCCCCAATTCATTTCCTCCTTCTTGTAGATTTGGATTGGTCTTTTTCATGTTACAAACCTTTTGGATTATTGGGGTAGATTATTCCCTAAACAAAGGTAATTTCTGTTCATTATAAAGAATATCCACATTATAAATGGCTTTGTCTTATTTATAAATCTACAGTAGGGAAAGTTAGGATGGATATAGATCTTAGAGAGTTTGGCTTACAAATGGAGAAGTTTGCACCTCAGAAATAGGCAGCCAGTTGCCTCTCTTCACATCCGAGTCATTGCCTGATGTAATATTTGTTAATAAATGAGGGGCATTCATTAAATTTGAAATTAAAATAACAAAAGTTTGTTAATATATGTATGTCCCAAATGTTACATACGTTGGTAAAAAATAATTTATTTTTTAATCTGAAATTGAAATTTAACTGGATGTGCTCTGTTTTAAATTTGCTAAATCTGGTAAACCTAAGTACACAGCTCCAAATTTTCTTCCTATGTATTTTTTTCCTTCTTCCTGGAGTGTATACAAAAACATGAAATAAAGAGTTTGGCAGAGAAATGAAGAATGAGCTTCCCAGAGCAGACGGCATTATGTGTTATTTTTAAGAGACAGAATAGCACCTTTGTCCAGGATGGGGCAGGACTGGCCATGGCCTCCCTGAAGGCTGATTTCACAATGGTCCCCAAATGTATCAACAATAGACCAGAATGGTTTCAAACACCTAATGATGGTGGTCTTATGTTACACTCTATTATGGGGTCATTCTACTTTTATAAAATTTGATTTTTAAATGAGTTTTATAACATTCTATTGAAAGAAGATTGAAATTTTTCTGAGATGAATTCCCCACTTTATTTCTAGTTTTCTATTATTTGAACCATTTTCTATGGTATTAAAAATAATCTGAAAAATTATAATTTTACTTTTTTCCAAGTTTTTCCTTCATTTATTTTCTTTTTTTTAAAAAAATTTCATTTATTCCCTCTATCCTAGCCTGAATTTTTGCAATGCCTGGTGAAATTAGATACTAATAAAATAATACAATACCTTTGCAAATTGTTGAAATTTGTTTTACCAGTTACATTTTTTTCCATAAATATACATACTTGCATTTGGAAATCTACAGTGATAGCTTTATTTAGAAAAATCTTATGAAGATAGATTTATTCTTCAGTTTTGGTGTATTTGGCTTTTGGGCCAGGGCTCTTGGATACTCCATTTGACTTTAGAATTAAAGTAGGTATTTAGCATGTGCTTTTTTATTGATGATTGAACTAATATCTCTTAAATCTTCTTTATCATAGATTCTTCTTATGGTTCCAGTTTTTTTACAGTAAGTATCTTAAGAATAGTTTGAAAATTAGTCTTCAAAGACAGAATAGTTAAGTTCACAACACTGTTTTTAAGTTTAATTTACATTTTCAAACAATTATTTCTTTTTTTTTTTTTCTTATTTTTTTATTGCATTTTAGGCTTTGGGGTACATGTGCAGAGCATGCAATACAGTTGCATAGGTACACACATGGCAGTGTGTTCTGTTTGCTTTCACCCCTTCACCCACATTTGGCGTTTCTCCCCAGGCTATCCCTCCCCACCTTCCCCTCCCACTGGCCCTCGCCTTTTTCCCCCAATAGACCCCAGTATTTAGTACTCCCCTCTCTGTGTCCATGTGTTCTCATTTTTCATCACCCGCCTATGAGTGAGAATATGCGGTGTTTCATTTTCTGTTCTTGTGTCAGTTTGCTGAGAATGATGTTCTCCAGATTCATCCATGTCCCTACAAATGACATGAACTCATCATTTCTGATTGCTGCATAATATTCCATGGTGTATATGTGCCACATTTTCCCAATCCAGTCTATCATCAATGGTCATTTGGGTTGATTCCAGGTCTTTGCTATTGTAAACAGTGCTGCAATAAACATTCATGTGCATGTGTCCTTATAGTAGAACAATTATTTCTAATGACTTGAGTTGTATAACAATTGTGTAGAAGCTGGATTTGAGAGAGCCAAGATCTTTGTAGAGATGGACTGAAAGATAAGTTTGAATTTTCTGAAGCAAGGCTCTGGTCTGTGAAAAGCAGGGGTGAAACCTGAGGCCAGCAGGTGGTGGATGATTCACAGAATTTCTTTGTAAGATGGGTACAGAGTTTATCTGATTCCAGGGAAGGTCTGAGATTTGTGCTTGGCATGTAAGCAGTGACTCCCTCGAGACACGACGCCCTCAGTTAAAGCACTAGTTACCAACAGGGAATAACCCTCCATCGAATATTTGTCAGTGTCTGGACACATTTTTGGTTATCACAACTGTGGACAGGTGGGGAGGGTAATATTAGTCTTTAGTGTGCTAAGGCCAGAGATGCCGCTAAGAATCTTACAAAGCAAGATGCTTCTACAACAAAGAATTATGTGACCCAGTAGAATTATCTGTCTCAGTAGTCTGGTTGAGAAACCTGAAGTTAAGGTGCAACCTTGATAGTGTTAAAAATTCTTTATTGCTCATATTGCAGCACCAGACACTGACTTACTGTACAGGTATTTGTAGTAACATTGCACTAACAGAAGCACATGTGTCTGTATCTGTTTAATTCTAGGAAAGATTTAGACAGCTCAAAAAAACACATGCTATAAAACCATAAGAACAGGGGCCAGCTAATGAATAGCAGGAATGTCAGTGTATTCATTAAATAATTACACTAGCAAGGAGTATTGAACACTCATCGTGGAGTTTTCTGATGCACCAGGTCAAAAGGAAAATGTAGGATACACACACTCAAAGTCTTACAAATAATGAAATAAAAATAGAATAGAGCGTCATTTTAATGATTAAATTAGCATTTAAAAAAAATAATACCTGATGCTTGTGATGTTATAGCTTACTGATATAATCTCATATGGTTTGTGACAATAAAAAAATGGATATAATAATTTTTAGAAAAGCAACTTGGTATTTTTGTCTCGTAATTGTTCTGAAAATTAATCTTTTTTTTGAGACGGAATTTTGCTTGTTACCCAGGCTGGAATGCAATGGTGCGATCTCGGCTCACTGCAACCTCTGCCTCCTGGGTTCAGGCAATTCTCCTGCCTCAGCCTCCTGAGTAGCTGCGATTACAGGCACGCGCCACCATGCCCAGCTAATGTTTTGTATTTTTTTAGTAGAGACAGGGTTTCACCATGCTGACCAGGATGGTCTCGATCTCTTGACCTTGTGATCCACCCACCTTAATCTTATATATAATAGAAACAAAAAGCTGCCTAAAATATTCATTGATAATGATGGATAATTTGAATTTCCCAAAGTAAGATAAATTGATATTGATTGCCTTCTTAGTACAGTCACCTAATAGTAAATATGTTAGTGGAAAATGAGTATGTTATTGGATCGAGTGTAAAAAGCAGAGGACAGCATCTTATCCATCATATGTTTGTGATGTGAAAACATTTTGGTACAAGGAGTTGAAGCAAAGTGGCTACAGGAAAGCAGTTCCATTTGTTACAATGAAAGAATTCTAGGTCCTTTTTTATTATAGAATTCTTATAAAGATATTATACTGTTTGGTTTTCACTGAGAGTGAAATGGCTATCTGAATAACCTGAGCAGAGGAATGGTGGGACTTGATTTGTGTTTTTGGAGGATTTCTTTGGATGTTATGTTGAGCAGAGACCGATGGTAGCCAGAGAAAAAGTGGGAGTCCATGTAGGGAATTGGCTCATCCTTCTATGTAACAAGTGGAGGTCTTTTAGAAAAGATGCATAGTTAGTGAGGGAGGTAGTGAGATGTGATGGTAGTTTTGGTATATTTTGGAGGTAAAACCAGTAGGCTTTACTGATGAATATGAGATAGGTTATAAGAGAAGAAGAAGAATCAAGGATGACTCTATGTGGTTTGACCTCAGTAAATGGAAATATGGAGTGGCCATTTACTCAGGTGGGAAAAGATTGAAACAGGATTTTTGGAGGGGAGGTGAGGAGAGGGTAAAAAGGGAAATCAGACATTGATTTGGGGCATGTTAGTGAGATTGCCAAGTGGCGCTGCCAAGGAGGTTGTGGGATGTTCCGGTTTGGAGCTGAGATAAATGGTCTTGGCATAAATGACACTTCAAGGTCATGAAGGGAGAATGCGTAGACAGAGCAGAGAAAGAGGCCTGGGCACTGACCACTTGCATTTAAAATAGTGTCAGGCAAGGAGGAGGAAAGTGAGGTTGTGGGGTGTCGTGGAAGCCCAGGAAGGCTATTTTCTAGGAGATGGGATGATCCATTGTCTCAAGTGTGGCTGACTGGTCATGTAAGAAGAGGATGAAGTGCCACTGGGAGTAGCAACATGGAGGCCATTGGTGATGTTGACAAGAAAGGCTTTGATGAAATGATGAGGGGAAAACCTGACCAGAGTGGGTTTAGAAGAGAGTGGGGGCAAGTAAGTGGAGACAATGTATATGACTCAAGATGGAGGCTGTGAAGTGTTGAGGCATAGGGTGGAAGCTGCCGGGCACTGCAGAGGCCTTTGGTGTCTGGTTCCCACCCCACTGGCTCCCTAATTTCTCCCCAGCTAAGATGGGCAGTTCCCCAAGAGCTCAGACTCCTGGTTGCAGGGCCCCACATCAAGCACGTGCTGAGAGTATTTTGCTTTCTGTTCTTGCCTGAAGTCAGTTCAGCTTGAGAGGGCAGGGGAGCTAACACACCCAGAGCAACCCATAGCTGAGGTGACCACCAGACTCACATTGCCTGGGACTGAGAGTCCCTTGTTCCAGAAAACATCAAAATCCTGGGCAACTGGGGAGGGTTGGTCCACCTTCCCCCAGCAATGGGTCACTTCTGGGCAGCACCTTTGTTCCTGAGAAACTTCGAGGGTTTAAGGCAGCATGGTCTGTCCAGGCCCTTGATGGCTGCATTGACTTTTCCCTCTTTCCTGTCTCATTCTTTCCACCTCCTCAGCTCTTTCCTGGGATCATCTCCTGAACATGCCACCTACATACAAGCCCTTGATTCAGGGAACCTAAACCAAGACAGGAGATATGGATTTATTTTCGTTCGTTCCTTCTTTCTTTTCTTTTTTTAGAAACAAAAAAATACTCTGTCTTTCACCTTCAAACTCCTGGGCTCAAGCCACCCTCTGGCCTCAGCCTCCCTAAATACTGAGATTATTTAGGAATAATTAGCCTCCCTAAATACTAGGATTATTTAGGAAAGAGGGAGGAAGGGAGGGAGGGAACTTGGTTCCCTCCCTCCCTTCCTCCCTCCCTCCTTTTCTCTCTTCCTCCCTCCCTCCCTCACTTCTTCCCTCCCTCCCTCTATTCCTCCCTCCCTCCTTCCCTCTCTTCCTCCCTCTCTTCCTCCTTCCCTCCCTTCTTGTCTGCCTCCCTCCCTCTTTCCTTCCTTCCTTTCTTTCTTCCTCCCTCCCTCTTTCCCTCCTTCTGCCCTCCTCTTTCCCTCTCTCCACCCTCCCTCCTTCCTTCCGTCCCTCCCTCCCTCTCTTCCTCCCTCCCTCCTTTTCTCTCTTCCTCCCTCCCTCCCTTCTTCTCTGCCTCCTTCCCTCCCTCTTTCCTTCCTTCCTTTCCCTCCCTCCTTCCTTCTTCCGCTCCCTTCCTCCCTCCTTCCCTCCCTTCCTCCCTCCCTTCCTTTCTTTCTTCCTTCCTTCCTTCTCCCTTTCTCCCTTCCATCTTTCCTCCCTCATTTCCTCCCTCCATCTCTCCCTGTTCAGTACAGATGCAGCCATCCATTTTTTTCCCCTAAATTTTTTCAATCTATGGTTGATTGAATCCAAGGATGCAGAACACACAGATACGAAAGCCTGACTGTACTTCATTGTGTACCTCTGAAAAACAAGGACATTCATGTATGTAACTACAGTACAGTTACTAGAATCAGAAAATTAACACTAATACAATAGAATTGTTTAACCTATAGACTTTTCAGATTTATCAATTGTTCTAATAATGTTCTTAGCAGCAAAAGAAAATCTTGGATCATGCATTGCATTCAGTTGTCCTGTCTTTAGTTTTTTTTTTTTCTGGAATGGTCTTTCTTTGTCTTTATTTCATCAGGATTTTTGAATACATCACTTATTTGTAGACCATCTTTCAGTTTTTGGGTTGTCTGATATATGTTCATGATTGCATTTGGCATTTTGTACTTATGGCAGGAATAGGTTGTGTTTTTTAAGATGGCACATAATGATATGCTGATAGGAATGAACTGATAGAGGGGAAAAGAGAGAGGACAGTTGCTGAATGATGCTCTTGAGGGATGGGAGAGCAGTAGGGCTGAGCTCAGGCTGAGGACTGAAGCGCTGAATTTGACTGGAGATGAAATTTATTATTTATTTAGCCAGAGGAATACATGATAGATTGTGAGAGAAGAAAATAGTTGAGTGAGTATTCAAGGGAAAGATCATTCAGGGATCAGGGGCATGAGACCTCAGAGGACATGAAGGAGGTGTTGGCAGAGTGGAATGTGGGGCCTGGCAGGGCCGAAGAGTCATTAGAGTTGGGGAACTGTAGAAAAGGAGTGGGGTTGATCATGGATGAGTGAGGTGCATAATGTTGTAGCTATTGACAATGAAAAAAATACAGATTTTGGCCAGAGAAATGGGTGATGCAAGCAGGTGGAAGACAATATCACTGGATGGAAGGGAGGTCAGTAACAGAAGGGATTTGAGGATTATTAGATACAGAGATCACCGAGAACGGTGGCTGAAGTCATGCTGAAAAGTGTGGCAGTGTGCTGGAAGCCAGAATCCTCCAGAAATGGCTGGACTGACTGTACTTCCTGGGGAGCTTGTCCTGGGAGCTTCCAAGGACGCTGCTGAGTTCTCAGCCCTTCTCTTCCTTCCACTGAGAGTGGTGTGAGGAAGAGGGAGTGTGTCTTGTTTGGAGTAGTTGGACCTCTGGAGAATGCTTCCTTTTGTTTGTTTGTTTGAACTTTATCTCATCTGAAAGATAAATGTTGTGACTTTTATGGGTGGTCTAAAATGCAGGATTCACTTTTATTGAAGGAATGGAAACTAGACTGCAAGAAGAGAGCCAGAAACTGTGGAGCTTGGAACACAGAGCATGGGGTAGTTCTTACTGGGAGGTCATGGAGTGTTGGGGCATTTTTCTACCCAGAGAGAGCATGTAGGCTCAGTGAGGCACTGGAGACCCATGTTTTTTCTATTTTGGCACTTTGTCTTTCTTGGCATGTATATAAAAGCCTCAGTTACCTAGAGAAATCCAAAGGCTCTATACCATAGGCCAGCTGCATTCGCCTTCTGACCAAGCCATCAGTACTCAGTGAAATGTTGGGTTTTCTTGTTCATATTTGAATTATTCTCTTTCTCTTATCATTTACATGTAAAAAATAGATCATTACGTTCTTATCCAGCATCTATCTCAAAGACGTTGTTGCTTCAAAAACTGCAGAAGTTGGTACAGCTTGTCACAAAAACCAGCTTTCTTTTTCTCCTTGCCCCATCTATACTTTTTTCCCCCATCCATATTTTTAAACCATTTTAAAAAAAACCCCTCAACTGAACAGAATAGTTTTAACATTGTGTTCAACATAGTGACAAATCTGTTCAGTGTAGTGACATATGAAGTATAGGTTTCTACCAGGAGAATTTCTACAATTTTGCACCTTTGCAGCATCTCTGTCTCTCATTTACTTGATTATAAAAGTCCAGAGGGAGACTTTTGGTATTTTTTTCCCCATCAGATGGATCTCAATAAGACCGAGGAGGTAATATTGAAACTGGAAAGCCTCCACCAGCAGCCTCATATCTGGGATTTTCTACTTTTACTACCGAGGCTACACACAAGCCACGATCACGTGGAAGATGGCATGCATGTTGCAGTGCACCTTCTCCGGGCTGTTTTGAAGTAAGTGAAAATGAAAAACGTAAGTATCGATACATTATTTTTCACCTTATTTTTAAAATGGGAAATAAAAATTACTGAGTTATTGTTGTTAAAAAGAAAACCTCACAATAATGTCACCTTGAAACAACAGGAGCTTCTGCACCTCCACGTCTGTCCCTCATCTGTCCGTGTACATGTTTTATATAGGGGCCGTGATGTTCTTCTTAGCTTAAAACATCTGTTCTCCCTGATTTAAAAAAGTTAGCTCCATACTTTAATATTTCATATGCTGTTATAGCTGATAAATGGTCATTTTTAATGGCTGCAGCATATATCATTCTGGTAAAGGACTATATACCAGAATTTACTTAATAAATTTAGCATTAGAGTTTTGGTTGTTTCTAAGTTTTTCACTATTAGAGATAAGGCTTGAATATAATAATTTTAACTAGTTTCTTAAGAAATTATGCCACAGTTGCCCACATAGTATTCAGAACTGATAAGCTCAGTTGCTTTAGTTGTGAAATTCAGTGAGCTGGATGTTGGACTCCTTTGCTGGATCTGACTGTAGATCCAGCATAGGAGACCAACTGGGGTGACTTTTGGGGGCATCCCTTCCCATGGTGGATTTCCCATGCTTTAATCAGAATGACCCTCTTTTACAAATAATTGAATTATTTTGTGTAAACTCATTGTATGAATAATGAGTTTTATTATTTTTCATTAGCAGAAGTTTATACTCTTCTCTGATTTTTAACTGTTATTTATTGTATCTGCCATTGGTGAGAGAAACCCACATTGCCCTTAGGCTGGGACAAAAGGGGCTCTGTCCTGGGGCCTGTGCTTTGGGGAGGTCCCTGTTCTGACCTTCCTCAGACTGTGCCTCTGCTCATGACTCAGAATGCCCATGGGGTGAAGGGCATGTGTTCACAGAGCCCATACACCCTGAGTTCCTCTTACCCTGGAGTTCCCCAATCTAATGGCCAGAGCCTGCTCAAGCCTCTTTTCCTGGCCACTCCTTCTGAGGGTAAGTGTTACCATTAGACTGTGCCTCCTCTAGCCTAAGGGTGGTCTAGGGATGACCGCAGCCATTGACAGGAGTGTAGGGTGAGAGGCATGGGTGCTGTTGGGCTGTGTAGGCTAGAGGACTCACCTCTGAGCACTGAGGCCCCTTGAGGTACAGACCAAGCTGAGGGTGGGGAGCACATAGGGGAGGAATGGGCTGAAGGTTGGGGCCAGGGACAGGTGCTCCCTTAAACTTCTACAGTCTCGTGTACAACTCTGAGGATCAGAAAATTCTTTTTTTTTTTTTTTTTTGAGATGGAGTTTCGCTCTTGTTACCCAGGCTGGAGTGCAATGGCGCGATCTCGGCTCACTGCAACCTCTGCCTCCTGGGCTCAGGCAATTCTCCTGCCTCAGCCTCCTGAGTAGCTGGGATTACAGGCACGCACCACCATGCCCAGCTAATTTTTTTTTGTATTTTTAGTAGAGACGGGGTTTCACCATGTTGACCAGGATGGTCTCGATCTCTTGACCTTGTGATCTACCCGCCTCGGACTCCCAAAGTGCTGGGATCAGACAATTCTTTGTAGCTTTCCAAGTTGTTATGAAGATCTATTGGTCAATGTAGGAAAATGGAACATATTATGATAGTTAGTTAGCTTGATTTATAAATTAAATATTTGAACATATTCGAAAAGCCTCTTTTTGTATTCTTGCCTGAAGCCCTGACTCTGTTAGCAGTGAACAATGAGAACAATGGGGCTATGCGGAGAGATGCGAAATTTAAAATGAGAAGATACTGATGACAGTTGTTGAACCATATCAACTTCAGCATAAATTGTATTTCCATATTTTGCTTCAGCATGATATCAAGAAAATCTGCATTCATAGAGAGAAGTATTTGCAAGTGGTACCAGGTTTCAATGATATATCTTATAATCCTGGGATACTCTTCAATACACAAAGTTGTCATAAAATATTTTTCTTGATGAAAATCTACAAGGAAATAATCTGTTTAGAAGCATAGCTTATGGTTGTATTGGTCTCATATTGCCAAAATACAGATATGTTCCACCTTCTGTTGAGTGCATTTTCCAATCTACAAATTGAAGCATTTTTTTTATAAAATAAAATATTAATATTCTAAAAATAAAATTAATACCATGTATCTGTAGACTTCTCCTCCCCAAACCTCCCAACAATTTGACAGCCACTGATTGAACCCTTGACCTATTCAGATCCGTAGGTTAAGACAGGGTGGAGGATTGAGGTACATGGTATTGCCCTGCAAATATTGGACTGATGATCTGAACTTGAAGCAGCCTGACTATGCATTTGCTTTTCTCATATGGCAGCCCTTTGCACCTTGCTGGCCTCATCAGCTACCCTGCGGCAGGAAGAATCAAGGCTGAGTATAAAATAACACCTATGGCAGAGCCAAGGCAAACTTGAGTTCTGTGTCAAAGGCAGAGTGGAAGATGGCCTAAGTCCTCAAGTGTTTCAGGAGAAGAACTTACCTCTTACATTTAGTTACTAGTCCAGGGAGTTAGAGTCAAATTAAAGCCATGAAGAATGCTGACACATAAATGGTCTAGCCACATCTTGCAACAGCGCTAGGGGCCCAGTCGGCGGGATGTTAAGTAAACCTTGAACTGATGCTACTTGTTTTGCTAACTACCCATTCATACTGCTTTTTGTTTTGTTTTGTTTTGGTTCTAGTTCCTTAATATCCCTAGAAGATTTAGATTGGCTGCCACTCAACCAAACTTTTTCCCAGGTTTCTGAACTTGTACTGAATGTGACCGTTTCGACACTGACATTTCTGCAGCGACATGGAGTAGCAGTCTCTGGTATGGGTGCCTTGCAGCTATTGCTATATTTAAAAAATGTTTAACTACTTAAATTCATTGACCATCAACAGAGAGCTAAAATGATGTTCAAAGTGATTTAATTAGAATTTCAAATTCAAAAAAGAATTGTTTATGTTAATATAAGACAAAAATAGAATAAAATTTGGAACTCAAAATTGAATTTGACTTTCTACCACTGTTGAAATTCTGCAGTCATTGCTAACATAAATAACATTTTTAAATTAAAATAATTGATTTTAAAATTCTTTGACATTATTTCTTCTAATATTAGACTTATCACTGGTTCTGTGATTTTACTCTTTCCTCTCTCTAACCTCCTATTGGGAGGAAATATTTTAAAAATGGTAGTAAGAGGAGGCAGGTTGATTTGGATTTACAGAGTCCCCTAACTAAATAAGCAGCACTACCACAGGGGAGGGAATGGAATTATGTAGCTCTTTTCTTGACCCAGGATATTATTTCCTGAGTTGTCAACTGAGTCTGAGCATTTTACTTTTAATTCTTTTCTTTTGTCTATTTTTCTATCTTTGGCTATTTCTTTAAGGGAAAGACAGTGAGAGAACAACAAAGTTATAATTCATCCACTCATCTATTCATCCATCCTTTTATTCATTCATCTGTCCACCCATTCACCCACACATCCATCCATTCATCCATCCAACCATCCATCCATCCATCCATCCATCCATCCATCCATCCATCTGCCTACCCATTCACCCACTAACCAACCTATCAACCCATTTATATCTCTATCTATTCGTCTATTAATTCATCCATCCATCCACCCATTCACCTATTCACCAACCCACCAACTCACCAACTCATTCATCTATCTATCCATTGTCCATCCATCCATTCACTCATCTGTTCATCTATCCATCATCTCGCTCCCCATTCATCTACTCACCAACCCACCAAGGCATCCATTTGTTCATTTATTTATTCATTTTCTCATTGAATAAACAATGAGCACTTCCTATGAGCCAAACGTTTCCCCAGACAGTGGGAATAAAAAGCTGAATAAGACATAGTTCTTCATTGAGAACACATGGACACACGGAGGGGGACAAAACATACCAGGTCCAGTTGTCAGATGCAGGGTGAGGCAGGGGGGAGAGCATTAGGACAAATAGCTAATGCAAGTGGGACTTAAAACCTAAATGATGAGTTGAGAGGTGCAGCAAACCATGACACATGTATACTTAACAAACCTGCACGTTGTGCACTTGTATCCTGGAACTTAAAGTAAAAAAACAAAACAAAACAAAAACAAAAACCAAGCATAGTTCTTGCTTTCAAAAAAGTCATCTTTGGTAAAGTAGAGAGATATCAATAAAGAAAAAAAAAAGACCATAGAGTAAGGATCTGAAATCTGTTTCAGGAAAAACTTCAAGGAGGAGTTTTGATGGGTGAGTTGGAATTTATCAAAGAGATGAGGGAGCATTTCCAGGAAGGGGAAAGAGTGTGTGAGATACTTGGGTTTGCTGAGAGCTGTGAAGGTTTGACGCTCAGCTTGTCTGAGGTACAGTAGGCATTAGAGGGGGTGGCATAGAAAAGAGCCCAGGCCAAAACATGAACGACCATGGAAGCAGTAGAATTAGATCTGCGTTATAGAAAGATACTCCTGGGCAGTGTGAGGAGTGGATTGGAGGCAGGCCAGTCTGGGGTTCAAGATTCTGGGAGCAAGTCTTCCATTGGCCACTTTCTCCTGAGGTCTTAGTCTCCTGAACTATTGTTATTATTTGAGACGGAATCTTACTCTGTTGCCCAGGCTGGAGTGCAGTGGCAAGGTCTCGGCTCACTGCAACCTCCAACTCTTTGGTTCAAGCGATTCTCCTGCCTCAGCCTCCCAAGTAGGTGGGACTACAGGCATCTACCCCCTGGCCCAGCTAATTTTTGTATTTTTAGTGTATCACCGTGTATTGGCCAGGCTGGTCTCAAACTCCTGACCTCAGGTGATCTGCCTGCCTCAGCCTCCCAAAGTTCTGGGATTACAGATGTGAGCCACCACGCCCAGCCCTGAAGTATTATATATTGAGATTGTTATGCACAGAGATTTCTACAATCCCATTCAGAATTTTGCAGCTTCATGGAGCAAACTAACATGAAACCCTCTATCACCCCAAGTTCTGCCTGTTGCTTCTTTCTTTTCATTGTTTGTGACCCAGCACAGTGAGATCCATATAGAAAGGGTTTTTTTGGTTCTTGTTGTTTCGTTTTTTTTTTGAGCATTCTGTAAAAGAAAAATTAGCTCATTAAGGTTTAACTCCATTTTCAGGTTAGGTTAGTTCCGCTGAGAACTGTCTCTTACGCTGAGAACAAAACGCAGAGGTGGGATGAATAATAAATCACCTCATTGAAATCTTCCCAGTGACCTTAATTTTAACAAACTCATTTAGAAGCTCAAGTTTTTGTACATCATCCAAATTATAACAACCAATTTACCTTACAATTGGAAGTGTAATTACCGTTAAGAATGTAATTAAAATAAACAATTTTCTATTAACTCTCCAGTGAGTCAAAGCTAAGGAACACTATTACAAAACATACTTTGAGAGGTAGCTAAAAATTGTCTTCATGTCTCTTGTCTCCAAGAAAAATTCTTTTGCCTGATGAGCTGATTTGAAGGGAAAGGGATGAGTGGCCTCATGTGGCTTTGGGCTACTGGTCCAATTATGTTATGCACTGGAATTGTTAATCTACACATTCTGAATTCTCTGTTGTTTTAGCAACAAATTTCTGAATCCAAGGTGCCTTTCACTTTTTGAGAAAGATTGTGTACTTTCATAAGTATGCTATACTGACGTCGCTATTCTTTTCTCTTCTTTCTGGAACTCTGTGAGTAATTCTAATACCTTCTGAGACCAGTAGAGATTAATAGTCACAGCTCAGTTTCAGGAGCCAGATCATTTGGGTTTGAATCAGAGGCTTGATCTAACATGTGTGACTCTAAGAAAAAGGAGATAATTACAGCACCAACCTTACAGGGTTGCTGGAGGACTAAGTGAGACCTCCCATGGGTTATTCTTAGTCTAGGTCCTAGTACCTTTTCAACATACAATAAGTGCTAGTTTATGCCATGCAGAGACAATCCGAGTGGAAACAAAAAGTCTTGTATTCCTGGGATCTTGCCTATCTGCAGTACCTTCCTGAAGTCCTCCTTGACTTGGCATTTCTTTATAAATGTCATGGGTTGGGCTTTTTTTTGTCGCCCTCATTGCGATTATAAGGATCCTATGAGATAATGCATATGAAAATCGTTCAATAGTGGTTGGCAAGTACAGGGGCTCAGTTCAATGGGTGTTCAATCATGATCTGAAACAATCTAGTTTATAGATGAAGGTTCAAGGTTGAAACACACCTTGAAATTTGTGTGTTTTTGTGTTTGTGGATGACATAATCCTCAGAGATTTTGTCATACCTTGGGGATCTTGGATTTATATTTTGAATACGTCACTTCTAGATAGTGTCATGGGTTTTTTGGGTAGCCCATGAATTTTATACATTGACAACTTGAGTTAGGGGAACTTGGTCTTGTGACTTCGAATAATTACTGGAAATATAGTTTTAAAAAACTCCATAGTATTTTATGCTATGAATATACTATAATTTATCTTTTCCCTTGATACTAAGCCCTTAGCTGTTTTTCAGTATTTAATCAGTATAGAACCAATAAAATATTGTTGTACAATAACTTTTGCTCAGATATCTGATTAAGCTTCTTGAGAAAGATTTTTAAAAGTGAAATTATTGGTTGGGTTCAGGGACTTGAATTTTTAAAGCTCTTGAAATATGTTTTAAAATTATGATTTGGAAATGTTGCAACCATTTATGCCAGGGAGTGTGTGACACTTCGCCATTCTCGCGATAGCAGCAAGTGTTTTTTTCTGTTTGCTTTTTCTATTTGATGCCCAAAAGGTGTTTTGTCTTTATTTGCTCTTCCTTTAGGGGTGAAAATTGTATTTTTTTTTTCTGAATTACATTAGACATATCAACATATTCAACCAACTGATCGTGTAAATCTTTTATTTTTCCAACAGAGCCAGTTTACCACCTGTCCATGCAGAATATAGTGTGGGATCCACAGAAAGTCCAGTATGATCTCAAATCCCAGTTTGGTTTTGATGATCTTCACACGGAACAGATCCTGAACTATTCAGCTCAACTTAAGGAGGTACACAGGCTTGACTGCTTCTCACACCATTGGGTCTTTCCTGGAGACTGGATCCAGAGCCTGCTGCTGGGGCAGGGGGGCGGGTACCACAGGAGAGGCAGTCAGACAGGAGGGTTCCGTTAAAACCTGAACTCCTTGCACAGAAGAGACCCCTGCCGTCTTCAGCTTTTCTAGAAGTGTCTCTTTCTTCTTACCTTGAAGTTCTATCCTGGAACAGAAAGGCAGCTTGGAAGTAATATGACACTTGATTGCTCTGGGAACTAGCGGTGGGAGAGGCCAGGTCAAGTGAGGGTGTGAGATTCTGAAGACAAGACAGTGCTAGTAGGGTCCAGGTAGGAAGGTGATGCACCAGCTGTAGTGTGTTGGGGTACAAGTGGGTGCATTTTTAGGTAAACAGATAATTTTCCTTAGAAGAGTAGGAACTGTAGGTTATAGATGCCAGCTGGGTTCACTGAAGTTGAGCTTCTTCCCAAACTAGGTGAAATAAGGGGGTTGGACTGGATGATCCCCAAGGCCCAGTTCATTGTTGATATTGCTGAGATTCTGGGAGGTATCTTTCAGTCACAGAGTCCCTTTTGCCACTCCGGCCTGTTTGTAGGCACTTCTTTGCATGGTGCAGGCCCAAGAACTATGCACCTGGAGCTTTGGTCCATAGATTTTACCTCCAGGATTAGAGCATTTCTGGTGCAGCTCCTACATCAGGGTTGAGCTAGGCATGTTTGGAAAAGACCACTGTCTTCTGTTAGGATCTCAGTCCATGCTGGGTATGCAGACTTTGCTCACTTCTCTTTGAGTTCCCCAGAACCTGGCCTTACTAGATGGCACTTTTCGCATTTCAGTGCAGCTACTGTTTGCGTTCATACTGTCCCTTTCAGTATTTAGACTCTGGATCTGTGCTGTCAGCCTGCAGCCAGCAGACCCTCATGCTGGCTTGGTGTTTGAAAAACCAGTTCTGCCAGGTAGGTTAGGGCTCACCACAGTATACTAAATTTTGTGCTGCTTGTACCTCTGGCACAATTTTATTTATCACCTTACAATTTTAGGAACTATTTACCTACTATATATAGAATGTGAAATTGTGACTCTTGGGTGTTCTCATGGGTACTGATATGGATGGAATATGGAACCCCAGTTGGCTGATTTTATTCTAGTTTTCTCCATCTTTATGACTCCATTTTCTCATTATACTATAGTTTGAGTAAACTATGTAAAACTTTTACTTTAGAATGTTAAATATATTGAGATTAGAATTAAAATGAAAATGATCAGAAAATGCCGCTATGTATATCAACGAAGCTCCATTTATCATCTGATGATGTACATATGATTGTACAGCATATGTGCAAGCTTTCTATTTGCTGCTGTAACAAGCTATCCCAACACAGTGGCTTAAGACAACCCACATTTTTTTTTAATCATAGTGTACTGGAAGTCAGACACCTGAAATGGTCTCACTGGGTTAGTCTGCAGGGCTGCATTCCTTCTTGAGGTCAAGGAGACATACTGTTTTAGGGGAGGAAGCATTCTTTTTTTCTCTATTATCGTGTTCAATGGCTGGGGATCATAAATTAACCTGATAAAAGACATAAGCAAGAAGAAAACCAGTTATTATGTAGGTATGTAAGGGAGTTCACTAAGAGAAATATATAGCTGTTCCCTGACTTATGATGGTTCAACTTATGATTCTTCAACTTCACCATGTTGTGAAAATGACACATATTTAGTAGAAACTGTCCCTCTAGTACTCATACGATCATTTTGCTTTTCACTTTTATTCAATAAATTACATGAGATAATAAATGCTTTATTATAAAATAAACGGTGCTAGATTGTTTTTTACATTGTAAGCTAATGTATGTGTTCTGAGAACAGTTCAGTCAGGCTAGATTGAGTTTGGTTATGTTTTGAGGTTAGCTGTACGAAACGCATTTTTGGTTTATGATATTTTCAAGTCATGATGGGCTGATCAGGATGTAACCTCATTGCAGATTAAGGATCATCTGTATTTTAAGGAAGCAGCCAGATGATGAAGGCTTATACACCATCCAAGTCTATCTATGCGAAGTACACGATATTTGGGGTTTCTAAGCAGCAAGGCAAGTTATGGGAAGGTGAGGGGAGGAAATGTACAGTGAAAGAGTTATCCTGTTTTGCAGAGAAGTCTTCCAGGTGATCCGAGTTATTTGAAGTAGTTCTTTTTGTGGTAGGAGAGATCTTTTTTTTGAGACAGAGTTTCACTCTCGTTTCCAGGCTGGAATGCAGCGGTGTGATCTTGTCTCACTACAACCTCCTGCTCCCAGGTTCAAGCAATTCTTGGACCTCAGTCTCCTGAGTATCTGGGATTACAGGTGCCTGCTACCACACCTGGCTAATTTTTTTTTGCACGTTTAGTAGAGACAGAGTTTCTACTACCTTGTCCCGGCTAAAAATACAAAAAAAAAAAAAAAATTGGCTGGGCATCTACTACCCCATGTTGGTCAGGCTGGTCTCGAACTTACAACCTCCGGTGATCTACCCACCTTGGCCTCCCAAAGTGCTGGGATTATAGGAGAGAGCAACCACATCTGGCCAAGAGATACCTTTACAGATGAAAATTATCTTTATAAATATAAATTTTCTTTGAAATCTAGATTTCCTTTACCAAAAGGAAATTTATACTCTATTTTTAAGCAGTTAGGGAGAGGTAGGAAGTTTTTCTTACTGTGCTGGTTCTCAGTTTGAGTCTTTAGCTTAAAATAATACATATGCCAAAGAGACATACTTTGGGGTGGTATGTTCTGTTTTCTTGCTTTTCCAGCTTCTAGTGACCATCCACATTCCCTGGGTCTCAACCCCTTTCTCAATTATCAAAGCCAGCAACAACAGGTCTAGTCCTTCCTACATCCCATCACTTGGACACTAACATTGTTGCTTTCTTTCTCCAATAAGAACCCCATGTGGTTACACTGGGATCACCAGGAAACCCAGGATAATCTCCCATCTCAAGGCTAGGTGATAAGCAGCCTTAATTTCATCTGCAGCCTTAAATCTCACTCTCCATATAATATAACATATACATGGGATTGGGACATGAATATCTTAGGGGACCATTGCCTGCTTCCCACTCTTTGTAAGTGTAATTGCCTGGTGGGTTCTTCCTGCCCACTGCATAGACAAAAGCAATTCACTGAGACTGCAGTCTTGCAGTAGAGAAAGGGTTTAATTAATGCAGAGCTAGCCAAGGGGAAGAAATTGAGGTATTACTCAAATCAGCCTCTTTGAGAACTCAGAGGGGTGGGGTTTTTTTTTTTTTTGATAGTTTGGTGGGCAGGGGACTAGGAAATGGGTTCTGCTGATTGGGGATGAAATCACAAGGGTGTGGAAAATGTAAAAGTCTGTAAAACATCTCAAAAGACCAATCTTAGGTTTGACAATAGTGATGTTTTTTATAGAGGCAATTGCGGAGGTCACATATCTTGTAATCTTTGGCCCCGTGACTCCTGAGCAGCAAGGGATTATAGAAGGCCAGCTAGGGGCCAATGGCTGGTTTTCATTTAGCTACACTGACATTTTAGCAGCATTCAAGACCCTCCCATAATCTTAATGTTGTGGCCTTTTATTAGTCTTACAAGGGCAGGTTCTGTTCCTGAGAAAGGAGAGGATTCATCTTAGGGAGGGACTACTATCACCCTTGCTAAAAAGTTAAACTATAAACTAAATTCCTTCCGTGGTTAGCCTGGTTTATGCTCAGGTGTGAGCAAGGACAGCCAGCTTCTGAGGCTAGAAGTAAGATGGAGTCAGTCATGCTAGTCTTCTCTCACTCTCGTGATCTGCAAAGGGGGTTTCACAGGGCCCTTTCCATCTGGATCAGCCTGTGCTCCTAGGCCCTCCCTGGGGTCTGTCTGACTCCTGACCCCTCCAGTCTCTGGGCCTGCTGGAGGCCTTAGCACATGCTGCCACTGCAGGAGAGTAGTCCTCCTCTCTCCCTGTCTCTGCTTCTTGAATTGGAAAATGATTTGTCTAATCTCACATCCTCTGTGGAACCCCTGTGACCTCACTTCAGCCTCTGCCTCTACTCCTTCAACCTTCCATAATAAGGCATGTCCAAGGGAACCTGATGGCTGCACGTCTGCCTCTCATAGACTGAGAACATTTGAGTTGGGACTCAGCTTTATCTATCTAACACGATACATGGTATTGTTGATTTTTTTTTTTTTTTGAGATGGAGTCTCACTCTGTCACCCAGGCTGGAGTGCAATGGTGCGATCTCAGCTCACTGCAACCTCTGCCTCCCAGGTTCAAGCAATTCTCTTGCCTCAGCCTCCTGAGTAGCTGGGATTATAGATGTGTGCCACCGTGCCCAGCTAATTTTTGTATTTTTAGTAGAGGTAGGGTTTCAACATCTTGGCCAGGCTGGTCTTGAACTCCTGACCTCTTGATCCACCCGCCTTGGCCTCCCAAAGTGCTGGGATTACAGGTGTGAGCCACTGTGCCTGGCCAATTTGTTTTTTTAATTAAGGAAAAAAAAATAGGACAAAAACATCAGGGACCCTGTACTTGGACAGTCACAGGTTAATATTTTAAATCTTGATCCTAAAAGAACCTAAAAATGAACACAAAAGACTAAAATTAAGCTGTTTGACTACTGCCATTATTTAGTCAATTTAGGCTGTTATAACAAGAGACCATAGACAGGGTGGCTTGTAAACAACAGAAATTTATCTCACTGTGTCCTCCCATGGAAGAAGGAGTAAAGGAACTTCCTGAATCTCTTTTATCAGGGTACTAATCCCATTCATAAGAGTTCACCTTCACGATAGTTCCCCAAGGCTCCACCTCTTCATACCATCACCTTGGGGGCTAGAATTTTAAATATGAATTTTGGGGGGCAGTCCACAAGCATTTAGACCATGGCAGTCATCAACAGAATCTCTTAAAGGTATCATTATAATTGTTGTAAAATGATGTAATAGGGGAATGTGGTTCATTATATTACACACATAAGTATTTGTAAAGCATTGTTAGAGCAACTGTGTTGAAGTTCACGTGTAAAATAAAAGAGGTTTGTTTCAAGCATGTTAAACAGTTTCTGACCCAAGACCTCAATTTGAATCTTTCCGATATTGTCCACTTTTGATAATCAGAAAAGAAAATGTTCTTGGCAAAACAACTTTGTTAGTCCAAAGTATCAATTAAACTGGGCTGACCCATGTTCACTTTTGGCCTGAGAATGAAAAGAAACAAGATTTGTGGTCATCTCTATGTCCTTGGCCTGGAGAAACAGCTGTTCCCATTGTTTGCGCATGAAACTGAAAAATATAACCCCCTTTTTTTTTAACTACCAAGTCTCCCCTCAAGGTAAATCACATAGATATTATCACTTGTTACTTCTTCAATCAAGCAAATGTAAGACCTTTTATTATGGCAAGATCGTGGTGGTGTTTTTAGAAGAGGAAGGTTCTAGGAAAGGAGTTTTACTTCTAAATATTTTTTCATATTGTTGTCAGATACCCATAGACAGCTCGTTGGAGAAGATGGTGTGTTCAGTCTTGTCTAGCACATTAGAGGATGAAGCAGAGAGATGGGGCCACACTGGAGACTGCCACCCCAAGTGGTCAGAAGCCAAAAACTATCTTGTCCATGCAGTCAGCTGGCTGCGAGTCTTCCAACAGGTGCTGTCCCCTATCTACATGTTCTGTCCAAAGGTGTGCCAGTTTGGGTGTCCAAATCCATTCTCTTCCCTTGACTCACCCCCACCATGTTGTTTACTGTTGGATTTTATGTCCCTCCCAGGAAAGGGCCTTAGGATCCCCACATCCTGGCCATTGAGTGCACCTTATCTCATGTGCATCAACCAGCCCCAGCTCCTTAGGCCTAGGGCCTCAACCATCATCACCAAATGGTCCATCTTAGGCTTACACACACACCTTGGCAACTCAGAAGTTCCAGACCCATGCTCTGTTATTGGTGCATGAGATTCTCCTGGACTACTTTGACCAGCTCCTTGGATGTTTGCATGCTGGCATTCAGCATCCTTGCAGCACTTTGCGCTCCGGACTTGCCTTGTCCCTTCACTCTGGTTTTGACCAGAAGCTCTGTGCACAAACAGTGACTGTAAGTTAGCAACACAAAGGGAGGCTCTAGTCTGTCTTTACAGAGATGTTGGTGTAGGGCAGAGTGCCTGAGTGATTAGATTGCTCCTGGCCTCAGAAGATCATGGGGCCCTGGCTGTTTCACAGCTTTGTGCTTCTTGAGGAGGGTTTGGAGACTGTGAGGCAGAGCTCTCATGGCAGTCACTTCCCATTTGGTTTATCAGACTTTGCCATCCCCATCTCATGTTTTTCCTTAAAGAACATATCTCTTTAACTTTTTTCCCCCCTAGTATGTGTCATTGATAAAGGCTAAATCTCAAATAGTGGACAAAACATCATTAAAAATATATAGGCGTTATCATCCGCTATATGGTACTAAAGTCATCCAGCACTAAAATAATCACGGGACAGTGCTGAAATGATTGGCCTCCAGTGGTCTAGTGGATACCCTTGCTTTGTGCATTATCTGGGTAAAATAACTCATGGTTATTTAATATGTAGTTAGCACACATATGTGTACATCATGCACCTCCCTATGCTATCAGGCTTGGGCAAGAATGATCTATTTTGGTATAATGTTGATGATAAACCACATTGCTAATTGACATCAGTATCATCCTCCCCATGTCCATGTCATAAAATGGCACTTAGTATATATGTATTAACTTTGGTATATATTTAAAAATATGCAAATATACTTAATGCCATCCTAAATATGTCAGTTTAGGTTTTAAATTATATTTCATTTGTTTTAGGGTGTATGTTATTCCTGTCTCTCTTTTTTTTTTATCTTGGGAGAATAAAGAGAAATAAGGCAGAGATTATAAAGTTGTGTGCATCCATTGTTGCAACATGAAATCTTTAATTTCTGAGTAGAAATTAAATCATAATGCAATTGCTAACAGATATTCTGATTAAAAAAAAAAGATTGGCTGTCTCTTGTATTTCTTAACTAAATATTATTCTTTCCAGTTTGCTATTATTAATGCTAGTATTTTTGTTTCCAAATTTGTAGGTGTTTGATCAGTGGCAACAGGGCAGCCTGCTTCAGAAGACACTCAGAGGCCTGGGCTACAGTCTGGAGGCTCTCAGGAATCAGTTTGAAGAAGAGAGTAAGCCCCAGAAGGTGGTGGAAGCTCTGCACACTGTGCTGCTCTTCCTGAATGAGAACTTGACAGCAGATGGCCCAAAAGATAATCGCACATTTCCAAAGATGTAAGGCATATTTCCCTGTTTGATTATTGATTAGGTAGATGGCACTGAATTTTAAAGAGAGAATAATGATACTGTTAAAAACACATTCTGTAAACTACAGCTAGACAATAAACTTCAAGTTATCAAAGGCTTTCATTGTGGACTATCGCCCGGATAGAACTTTTTGCAGCACTCTGGATGCCCAGTCAGAGGCTGAAATTGACCTAATATGGGAGCAATATTTGAGGAGGTGTCAGTTTCCTGGATTTTGGATTGTATGTCTTTGGCATTTGTTTAAAATGCATAAATACATTTCAGAGGCATTTTTGTATGCAGAACTAGTTTACATGAGTAGCTGTTTTCCTAGAATCTTCCTCCTGGAAAAATATGTTTATATATTTACTTAAAGATTTTGTGTAGTTGAAGTGTTTACATAAGGTCCAGAAATATTTTAGAAGTAGGAATTTGTGGAACTTGTTTCTTCCTTTTTAAGATACCTACAATTTATTCACCAAAGTAGCTGACTGCATCTTTTTCCTCAGTAGGTGTGGCAGTTTGTAGTAACGCAAATCTTATTATCCTTCTGAAGTTAAGGCTCTCCTTGGAAAAGAACAATATGGTTTCTCAATATTATCTCAAAAATGTTCATTTCAAACCAGCTCAAAACAAACTGTTGCTCTCTGCGTACCAGGAAGGAGAGTTGAGATGACAGAATTGGATGGGACCGCGTTGTGTTATTATGATTACTTAACAAATAGCAATTCTAAACACTTCCAGTTTTTTTCACATTTTCTGGAACTGTTAGCAAACAGGATCTTGCTTTTGAAGGCCCTGTTTCCTAACTTTTACTTAAGAGATGTTCTGGGGCATGAATTGCTGGTGCTAGAGACGGCAGTACAGTTTCCTATCAGGGCCATAAAAGCTGTAGGAGGATGGTCACAGGGAGCCAGCAAGGATGCCTTGAAGTGATCTAGGCAAAGGGCAGGGACAAAACATTTGTCTTAAATAAACAAATGCCGGGACATTGCATTGGGGATGTTGAAAACCTCCCTGCTGGTCTGTTACTTAATGAACATTAATAGAAGCACCACATTAAGTCACCATTATTATCCTACATGCCTCGAACTTCCCCTGGCACTTTAGCCTAGGATTCTGCCTGCTCTGTGCCAGGCCAGGGGATTGAACTGGAAGCTCTACCTGGCTCTTAGTCCTACAGAGATTGGGGAAGCTGAAGACTACATCACACTCTTAGTACAAAGCTAGGACAACCTGCATTCTTCTGTCCCCATATATAATTTCCACACATTCTCAGTGCCAGGAAGATGAGGCCCAAACAATGGCTTTGCTGTCCATCTGCTCTGTGTGTGTGTGTGTGTGTGTGTGTGTCTGTGTGTGTTTGAGACAGAGCGAGACTCTGTCTTCCAGGCTGAAGTGCAATGGCATGATATTGGCTCATTGTAGCCTTCACCTCCTGGGTTCAAGTGATTGTTTTGCCTCAGGCCCCTGAGGAGCTATTACAGGCATGCCATCATGCCCAGCTAATTTTTGCATTTTTAGTAGAGACACAGTTTCACCATGTTGGCCAGGCTGGTCTTAAACTCCTAGCCTCAAGTGATCTGCCCTCTTCAGTGTCCCAAAGTGCGAGAATTCCAGGTGTGAGCCACGAAGCCTGGCCCGAAGCCTCCATTTGTATTTGGATACTGCTTTTGTTGCATGTAATAGAAAACTGCCACCTCTTGGCTGTTACAGCTTTGGCCCTTCTGTTGGCTTCCCTATGGAATGGACTCCTAGCTTGGTAATGGCGTTGCTAGATGATTGCTAAGGCCCTCACTAGATTTTAGTTCCTTGGTTTGCTGGAGACTTGGCACACAACTGCCCAATGGCAGAACTGTCTTCGTTTGTTAAGAAGGAATCATCTGTCCCTGCTTGTTAGACTGCTACCGGGATCAACAGAGACCCCCGTGCTGAGATGCTTCACGCTCTGAGTGGATGCCCTAAAACATCAGTCACTGCCACCAAAATCTGCTAATCTCTCTTTCTAAATCCACCCCTCTATTCCGCCATCCTTCTTCTCTTTACAAATTCACTGATTTTCCTACCTGGGTGTGAGATGGCACTTCATACCTATCTTCAAGACTAATCCCTTTTGTTAATTCTATTATTTTCAAAGTAAATTTTTTTTCTCTTAGTTTTGCATGGAGTCATGAATCCCATCCCAGTAGGTACTAGTGTGTGTGTGTGTGTGTGTGTGTGTGTGAGCTATTCTAATTGTTTTCTCCTCTGTGTTGTGTGGTTTCTTATCTACCATTCCCATGGCACAAATTCTCTCCTCTGTTTTGCCTCCTAAGCATTTGCTGAGTGCCTCCTTCTCTACCTTAGTATTTTATTGTTCTACATGTTGATATATCTATTAAGTCCTTTGTGAAGTTTAATCCTTGTTTCTTTGATTCAGTATTTCAAATAAAGCAGTCACTTGTCTTCAGCTCTTTTTTTTTTTTTTCGAGACAGTGTCTCACTCTGTTGCCCAGACTGTAGTGCAGTGGGCAGTGGCATGATCTTGGCTCACTGCAACGTCGGCCTCTCAGGCTCAAGCAATTCTCCTGCCTCAGCCTCTTGAGTAGCTGGGATTACAGGCACACACCACTACTGCCCGGCTAATTTTTGTATTTTTAGTAGAGAAGGGGTTTCACCATGTTGGCCAGGCTGGTCTTGAACTCCTGACCTCAAATGATTCACCTGTCTCAGCCTCCCAAATGCTGGAATTAACGGGCATGAGCCATCACACCTGGCTGCCTTCAGCCTTCTTTAAATCTTTCTGAGAATCATAATGCATTCTTAGCAGAAAACTGTGTATCTTTTATCATTAGCTTTGGTCCAGGAAACCCCATTCCTTTTTTCCTACCCTGTCTCCATAGCCAATTGTTTGCATCTTTTTTTCTTCCTAAGCCACATGTTCACTTAAAAGAAATGGAAATCACACCAGGCCCTCAGTTTTGTACTGAGTTCTTTGTGTCATTATAGACTGCCTCTTCTTCTCCAGGTTCTGCCTGGTTCCTGCCCACGTCCCTGCAGTCAGGGTGGCTGAGGTGTGGGAGCTCTTCACCCAGGCTCTAGCAGATAGCATGGATTTTGGTCAGGCGAGGACTCACAGAGGTTCCTCCGGACCCTCCAGTGAGGACTCACCCTTCAATGTCACACATTGCTGTGAAGTGTCTGTTCACAGATGTGGGGGGAATAGTCCCTAGGGTCTGGCCGTGTGTTACCCTTACTTATCAGAACTTAAAGATACTCGACAGCAAGATCCAGATTCCAAGTCATGCAGCATTTCTTTTTTCCCTGGGGAAAATAAAATAATCTTCTTCCCACTTTCTCGTTCTTTCCAAGAGCCACTCTGCTTCCTTCTCAGTGTAACCCAAAAAGTCAGAACAACGACTAACCTAAGACCACTCATTCTGCAGATGGCCTGTTCCAAAAGCCATGCTTCCAGCTTCACACTAGTACAAAGTGTCAGGAATCTGGTCAGCAGCCAGAAAACCCAAGCATGAGGATGTGATGGAGCAGTTGCTCTACCTTGTAGGGTGATGACATGGGGGTGGGTACCTCTTCCTGCTGGTGTCTTGTAGGAGAATTATCACTGGGGCCTTGCTCACTCTCTCTATACCCTCTACAGTGGTCAGGTCCATCAGCTCTCCAGCTAGAGAATAGCAGCAACTATTTATCAAGCCTGTGTTCATCCCCAAACTATCAAGGTGCTGGGAAGAGACTGACCACTATGGGACAGAAGTCCAAATGGACACTGGGGGCTCAAAGCTGTGGCACGCCTCCCGCCAGTGGAATATTCTGCTTAGGCTTCAAGTAGCTCAACCCTTTCTGCTTTTCTCTTTTTGTGGCTTGCCTTCTTTTATGGGTGAGGATTCCATGCAGTTCCTCAAAGACACAGAAAGCTTGGACTCGTCTGCTCTGGGAAGTTCTGCCCATGGTGTGGCTGTGTCTTGCTCCTCCCTCTCCCGTATTTATTCCCATTTCAGGTTCTTCACATTATTAAACTCATTTTCTTTCCAGCTCCTCTCTCAGTTATTTCTTCCCTGTCTGGAGCCCGTTAGTCTGACACTCCGAGGACTATTTGTATTGAGCTGCTTGGCTCTTCAGTCTTCCTTTGACCTTGGAGAATCCTACAGGCATTGCTAATTGGCCCAAGTTGGTACCACTGTGATGGTCCTGTACACCACCACATACCATCTCTATATTTTGAAACTTTTCTCAAAATATTTTTCTGCATCTCATTAACTTCAAGGCAAATGTTTTTAGATCCCATGTGAAACTTTATCCTAACCCTCACTTCTTTTAGATACTACTAGGAATATGCTTTTGCATTTTGGGGTAAATGTTTAATCCATATTCAGTACCAAAAGCATCTCCAAATCAGCTGATTTAAACAACGCAATTTGTCAAGAATCTGGTTGTGTGATGAAGTGAGACTTTCAGTCTGTGAACACACTTCTCAAAGCAGTGGAATATTTTCCTTTGAATGGAATTTTTATTTCCCTAGTTTGTACTTTGAACTACTTTTCATTTTATTTCATTTATTTATTTTTGCCCTCAGATTACAGCATCTCTTGAAATTGCAGAGCATGCTGCAAAACCTGCCCCAGTGGCCGGCACTGAAGAGATTTCTTCAGCTTGATGGAGCTCTCAGAAATGCAATAGCTCAGAATTTACATTTTGTCCAAGGTAAGCTAGTTCTGGTGTTATTTGTCCCTGACTCACTAAGTGTAAACGTGAAATTTATTGGAAAATGGACTTGAAACTGCCTGACAACATTGTAAAGTTGAAGATAAGTTGGCTGGTGTTGAGTGCAGATTTATGCTTCGCTCTGATGCCTTCTAGGGAATTTAAAATATGGCACACCAAGGCTAAATAAACAATGAGGGCACAGTGAAGAGCGCATCCTTGATGTGGCCTGTGACAAGCAGTGTCCTAGGGCTGGGTTGACTTTCATATTCACAGCAGCATCCGTGGTTGTCAGGCTGGAAAGGAACCAGAGTGCACTGTGAATAAGCGAATCTTTTGTATTCTGTTCCTTCTACCACCTCCTGTTGCTGCTGCTCCTTGGTGTCTGGTAGGGATAGCATGTTTCCTGTGGGTTTATAGAATGCCCTTCTCTAAACTTCCTTGACTATGCTGAGCGTTATTTCCTTTGCCCTCTTCCGAGGAAGTCAGGTTTACACTTTTGCTCCCATGGGCTGCTGCCTTTGCATTTTCTCTGGGAGGAGAGGGAAAAAATGAGGGGGATGTTACTTTAGAAGCAAAACTCTTCTGTAACTAAAAACACATGCTCATGAGTCTTCAGAAAGGATAAAATGATTTACAATGACTTCTGTTTTCCTTTCTGAGGAAGAGAATAAAATATATAATAATGGGTCAAGTTTTTTTTTAAAAAAACTATGTGTTCAGAATTCAGTTTCTTGATTTGTGGCCATGTATAGAAGTAGCCTACCTTAGGTGAATAATAAATGAATTTGTCTATTTTGCAGAAGTCCTCATTTGCCTGGAGACATCAGCTAATGATTTTAAACGGTTTGGACTTGACCAATTGAAAATGGAAAAGGATGTGTTCTTTTGGGAGCTAAAGCAGGTAAAGCACAGCAAAGAATTGTAAATAAATAATTTTAATAAAACATTCAAGAAGCTCATGCAATATTCAATTTTGCTCCTGTTGTGAATTGTGCTAGCAAAATAAAGAGAACAATATGTAGGTTTCCAAAACTTTATGTTGTGTTTAAAATGTTTGTCATTGCTTATTATATTTGCAGTTCTTGAGCCCAGGAAGAGGGTATCTAAGCCTTTCTAAATGTTACTCCTTTCCATTCTTATTAATCTTTTAGATGTTGACAAAGAATGCTCTCTGCTCAAATGGTCATTTGTCTGAGAAGGAGATCTTCTTGCCCTCTGGAAACTCCAGCATATGGGTTGGTTTCCAGGGACTGTTGTGCTATTGTAACTCCTCCAAGATCAGTGTTTTAAACAAGCTACTTGGTTCAGTGGAGGATGCTGTAAGTATTCTACCATCTTAGCTCTCAGAGCACCAGTAAACTCATTTTTGAGATTAAATTCACCAAAGGTGCTAATATTTAACCCGGAGTTTCGATGAGGAAAATGTCGCCACGAGCCCATGAACTTAAAGGAAGCTGGCTCTCTGAACTCCAGCTGCCCTTCAGTGCTGACCCTCCTGTCTGACTGTTTGAAAGGTTGTATGCCACCCACCTGGCCAAAACCTACTTGAAATTCCTCAAACTTTCAAACCATGCCATTTCTGCTTTTCTGGCTTGCTGGCTCCTTGATCTGCTTCATACTTGGCTGCACATTCTAACAAAAGTAGAGGAATCTTTCTGGTGATCAGTCAATCCCAGCAAAACTGTGGCTTTGAGTGGTCACAGGCTTTAAAAGTCATGTTCTTCTCATGTAAAACTGCCAAGGACAATGAGCTACCTCTATTGAGTGCCCAAGTGGCACTGTAGAATGTTGAGCAATTTGTTTGGAAAGATTATTTTGTCAAGTTCTAGCCCATATTCTTCTTAATGAGAGTTAAAAATACAGTATTTATATTTTTAGAATTCATTTTTCTCTCTCAGTATTACCTATTTTATTTTTTAATATCCTTCCTTATATACCATGGAAATAAAACCAGTGAAATGAAATTAGTGAAATATAAATAATGTCACAGCAAAATGAAAATTGAGATCGTAATTGCATAGTGTGTATAATTCAATCAGTTGTTTCTTAGCATCTACTTTGGGCATGATGGTATGCGGAAGGGAGTACAAACATGAAGAAGACACTATTTTGGTAGAGAAGGGCAAACAGTAATGAGACCCTTGGAACTCAGCATCTAAGAGTCTTCCCAAATAAGTTAATGAGCCTTAGATGAGCCGTAAGCAAAGAGAAGTCAGGAGGGGATGCTAGGCAGACAGCAAAGTGTATGTGAAGGGCTGGGTATGGTGGCTCATGCCTGTAGTCCCAGCACTTTGGGAGGTCTAGGTGGGCAGATCATTTGAGCCCCGGAGTTTAAGACCAACCTGGGAAACATGGCTAAACTCCATCTCTACAAAAACAAAAACAAAAATTAGCCAGATGTGGTGGCATTTGCCTATAGTATCAGCTACTCAGGAGGCTGAGGTGGGAGAATTGCTTGAGCCCGGCAGGTCAAGGCTGTAGTGAGCCATGATCACACCATTGCACTCCAGCTTGGGTGACAGAGTGAGACCCTATCTAAGAAAAGAAGAAAGAAAATAAAAAAATAAAGAAGAAAAGTGTATATGAATGCATGCAGGCACAGAAAACATTACCTGTTTGCAAATATCTTTCTTGCTACTGGATAGCAGCTCTTTCCTGGCAGAAATCTCACCCCAAATTTTATCTGTAAAGCTTAACTTATAGCCTCATGTAAAGCATGGAGCTATATATTTATAGGTCCCATATACATGAGATACCCTTTCTAATGATGCCTAGGATACATATCACTAACAAATCACCCTAAAGCTTAGTAACCTAAAACAAAACACATTCTGTTTTCTCTCTTCTGACGCTGGGTCTGGGCTCAGAGGGGTGGTTCTTTTGATGTTCTTACTAGACATCATTCATGTAGTTGCAGTCAGATGGCTGTGGGGGCTGGAGTCTGGTCAGCTGGGACACTGAGATGAAGGCCTCTCATTCTCCTCTCAGACTCAAGGTGTCTCTTCTCCAGGTAACCTCTTCGTGTGGCCTTTCAGCAGGGTAGCCAGACTTCTGACAAGGCTATCCAGGGATCCCCCAAACAAGCAAGAACAGGCAGGGAGGGAGAGCAGGAGCTGCCACTCAGAGAAGGTAGACCTGGAATTGGCACAGTTCACTTCTGCCGCATTTTATAGGATCATGTCAGCCAGAACTCAGCCTAGAATAATTGTAGAAGGTGGTACTAACAAGGAGACTCTCAGGGGGTCTGGGTCACAGGCTACTTGTCGCTACTAGCTAACACAGATGGCTATGACACTGGGTCGCATCCTACTTTATTATTGAATTAGGTTTTATTTTGGGACATATTAACTTGAACATGAGTAAAAATTCAAGTCTAGAACTATAACTTACTTACCATGCCAAAGGGCATGATTTTTGATGTATAGTTTGAGTGGACCCTTTGTTAAGCGGTACAAGGTAAAGGCTGTATCTCAAATACTCACATTTGAATTGGTTTATTTGTTATAAGGAATTATCTTCTTTTCCTGTTAAGGATCGTATTTTGCAAGAGGTCATTACTTGGCACACAAGCCTGCCAGTTTTAATACCGGAAGAATATTTAGACTGGCGGGAACTTCAGATGCAGCTGTCAGAAGCAAGCCTTTCCTGTACTCGGCTCTTCCTGCTGCTAGGAGCTGATCCCTCTCCTGAGAATAGTGTCTTTTCTAGTGACTGTAAGCACCAGCTTCTCTCCATAGTGTAAGTACCTGTTTGGTGAAAAACTTATAAACAAATTAGACATCAAAATGATTTCAACTGCCCTTTCTACACAGATGATAGATAGATCACTATGGTAGATTATATTTCTTTTTTTTTTTTCTTTCTTTTTTTTTTTTTGAGATGGAGTTTTGCGCTTGTTACCCAGGCTGGAGTGCAATGGTGCGATCTTGGCTCACGGCAACCTCTGCCTCCTGGGTTCAGGCAATTCTCCTGCCTCAGCCTCCTGAGTAGCTGGGATTACAAGCATGCACCACCATGCCCAGCTAATTTTTTGTATATTTTTTAGTAGAGATGGGGTTTCATCATGTTGACCAGGATGGTCTCGATCTCTTGAGTTTGTGATCTACCCGCCTTGGCCTCCCAAAGTGCGGTAGATTATATTTCTAAAAGAAAGAGGTTCAATATATTTTAAAAATATTAACCTACTGGTATTGTTGGAAAGCATCTAAAAACTGTAAAATATTAAACAGTTCCCTTAATTTAACCACTGACTTAATCTTTCATAAGAAATCGAGGATCTCTGTGAAGTCCAAGGTGTGCGCGTGATTGAAGTTCTTCTTTCCCTCATTACTCAGAAAGCACGCATTGACTACCAGTGGGAAGGAGCTTCTCTTGGGAGCTGTAACTCTACAGAAAATTTGCCTCGTTTTTATTTTATAACTCTGTCTACTATATATGTAATGAGTTTCCATTTTCCTTGACTTCTAGGAAGTTCTTTGTCAACTATGTCAAATAGGGAATATATATTTTCTTAACCTAAAGTTTACTTCCTGTTACGGCCTTTAATTTCCCTTCTTTTTTCCTTCTTATTTTGTCTTATATTTTATGTATTCTCATAAATTGCTTTTCCTCATTTTTCAAATTAAGGTAGAGGAGTTTGTAAACAAACTAAAAAAAATAATAGAGCTATTGGAAAGATTCTGTTTCCTTACATAAGTGGACTGCCATACATTTGCATATATTTGTTTTTAGATAAATTTATAATGATCTGTCATCTGCAAGATAATTTTTAAATTTAATTTTCTCTGGATTCTTTATGACTGCAGGATATTTCATACACTTGAAAAAGTACAATTTTCCCTGGAACAAGCATATTATTGGAAAGCCTTTATAAAGTTTATCAGGAAGACTTGCGAAATGGCTCAATATGTAAATATGCAAGAGAGTTTCCAGAACAGACTATCAGGTAAGTCAGTAGCCTAACTACAGGAAGGGGAATCTTCTCCTCTTTAGTGAGGTGACATGATTTCCTGAGAGTCTATCCTATTTAACAAAGCGGTGCTTAATATGGTGGATTTCCAAGCACAATTTGGCATTGTGATTACTTCGTACAATTTTTTCTCATCGATTACAGCAAGACTTACCAGAAGTCCTTGTTTGAGTGAGCCACGTTGTCCCTGCAGTATTTCTAATAGTGAATCCTTTTACTCTCAAAACTGTACTAGTTTGGATGATAAATACTTCTATATGTAGACTCGGTGAATCCTTTTACTCTCAAAACTGTACTAGTTTGGATGACAAATACTTCTATATGTAGACTCGGTGAATCCTTTTACTCTCAAAACTGTACTAGTTTGGATGACAAATACTTCTATATGTAGACTCATCATGATCCTACTCATAACAGTCCAGATTTTCTGCTGTGGACCTTCTCACTTTACTCAGCATTAAGACTGCTGCTCACACTGGCGACAACATCCCATGCTCCTTTAGAAGAAAACTCAGGGCCGGGCGCGGTGGCTCACACCTGTAATCCCAGCACTTTGGGAGGCCGAGGCGGGTGGATCACAAGGTCAAGAGATCGAGACCTTCCTAGTCAACATGGTGAAACCCCGTCTCTACTAAAAATACAAAAAATTAGCTGGGCATGGTGGTGCGTGCCTGTAATCCCAGCTACTCGGGAGGCTGAGGCAGGAGAATTGCCTGAACCCGGGAGGCGGAGGTTGCGGTGAGCCGAGATCGCGCCATTGCACTCCAGCCTGGGTGACAGAGTGAGACTCTGTCTCAAAAAAAAAAAAAAAAAAAAAAGAAAAGGAAAGAAAGGAGGGAAGGGAGGCACAGAGGAAGAGAGGAGGGAGGAAGGGAGGAAGGGAGGAAGCTGAAAAGGAAAGAGATGAGCTGTTAACATAATAACAAATAAATATATTTGGTCTAGGCCATTGTTCCTTGGCACATTGCTCCTAAGACCCTTGGAATATAGGAAGTGGTGTCTTTTTGTATGCTAATGAATGACTGGTGACTAGGGGCTGCTGGATAGCTTCAGAATGGGGGCTGATTGTCAGGGGAACCAACCCTGTTATTAGAAGGTTGGAACTTCCAGGTTCTCCCTCCTCTCATTCCCTTACCTTCCCTCTAACCTTTAGGTAAAGGAGAGAGGGAGGGAGGTTGAGTTGATCACTAATGGCCAATGATTTAATATATCATGCCTACATAAAAAAGCTTCCATAAAAACCCGAAAGGACGGTGTTCAGAGTATTTTTAGGTTGATGAGCACATGGAGGTGCTGGGAGGGTGGCAGGCCTAGAGAGAGGATAGAAGCTCCATCCCCCGCTGCCCCATAACTTGCCCTACGTATTTCTTCCATTTGCTGTCCCTAAATTACATCTGCTTAGTAAACCAGAAACCTAGTAAGCAAACTGTTTTTCTGCATTCTGTGATCTGTACTAGCAAATTATTGAACACAATGAGAGGCTCATGCAAATTTTGATTTATAGCCAGTTGGTCAGAAGTCAGAAGGGAGACCTGGACTTGGGTTGGGATCTGAAGTAGGGGCAGTCTTGTGGGACCGAAGCCTTAACCTGTAGGATCTGATGCTAATTCCAGGTAGATAGTGACAGAATTGAATTTAATTTCTGGATTAGTGCCAATTAGTACCAACAGAGAAGTGGAGAATTGCTTATTGTGGAAGAACCCACACATATGGTCACAGCAGTGTTGGAAGTGTTGACTATAGAGAAAAACAGTGTTTTCTTTTTTTTTTTTTGAAACGGAGTTTCACCATGTTGACCAGGATGGCCTTGATCTCTTGACCTTATGATCCACCCGCCTCGGCCTCCCAAAGTGCTGGGATTACTGGCTTGAGCCACCGTGCCCGGCCTCCTTTCTTTCTTTTTTCTCCTAATTGCTGTGGCTTGAGCTTCCAGTACTCTGTTGAATACCAGTGACAAAAGTGGCACCCTTGCCTTGTTTCTGCCTGAAGCAGGAACACTTCGTCTTTTACTATTGAGTATGCTGTTTCCTGGGAGCTTTTCATTATGGTTTTATTATGTTGAGGGAGTGTTCTATTCCTAGTTTGTTAAGTGTTATGGAAGGGTGTTAAATTTTGTCAATTTTTTTTGTGTGCCTCAATTGAGATGACTACGTGTTTTCTTTCCTTCATTCTGTTAGTATGGTATATTGCATTGACTTATTTTTGTGTATTGAACCATCTTTGCATTATAAGAATAAATGCCACTTGTTCATGATGTATAATCCTTTTAATTCTCTTTTTTTTGTTTTTGCTATTGAGTTCTGTTTTTGTTTTGTTTTATGCTTGTATTCATTTTTTATTTTCATAGATTTTGGGGGAACAAGTGGTGTTTGGTTACATGAATTTCTTTAGTGGTGATTTCTGAGATTTTGGTGCACTCATCACCCGAGCAGTATACACTATACCCAATTTGTAGTCTTTTATCCCTCACCCCCCTGCCACCCTTCCCCAAACCTCCAAAGTCCACTGTATCACTCTTATGCCTTTGCATCCTTATCACTTAGCTCCCACTTATGAATGAAAACATACAATATTTGGGGTTTTCCATTCCTGAGTTACTTCGTTTGGAATAATGGTCACTCATTCCATCTACAGCAAATGCCATTATTTTGTTCCTTTTCATGGCTGAGTAGTATTCCATGGCATGTATATACACCACAATTTCTTCATCCATTCATTGACTGATTGGCATTAGAGCTGATTCCATATTTTTGCAATTGTGAATTATGCTGCTGTAAACATTTTGCTATTGAATTCTATTTGCTAGCATTTTGTTGAGTTTTTGCATCAGTGTTTATCAGGGATATTGGTCTATGCTTTTCCTTTCTTGTGCTGTCTTTGTCTGGCTTTGGTCTCAGGGTAAAGCTGACCTCATAACATTTGAAAGTTCTTTTTTCTTCATTATTTTGGAAGAATTTGAGGAGGATTGGTGTTAATTTTTCTTTAAATATTTGGTAGAATTTACCAGTGAAGCTATTTGGGTTCTGGGATTTTGATGGTTGGAAGATTTTTATTACTAATTCAAGCTCCTTCCTAGTTCTTAGTCTGTTCTGATTTTCTAGGTAGATGAATTATTCTAGGATCTTACCCACTTCCCCTAGGTTATCTAATTTTTTGATATGCAGTTGTTTATAGTATTCTCTAGTAATCCTTTTTATTTCTATAAACCAGTTGTAATGCCCTTTTTATGTATATTATTGTAGTTATTGGAGTCTTCTCATGTTTTCCTTTGTCAATCCAGCTAATAATTTGTCAATATTGTTGATCTTTTAAAATAATCAACTTTTGGGTTTGTTGATTCTCTCTTCTATATTTCCTTTATCTCTGTTCTAATGATTAGTAGTTCCTTACCTTTGCTAGCTTTGGACTTAGTTTGTTCTCTTTCTGCATCCTTAAGGCGTAAAGTTAAGTTAATAGTTTGTGATCTTTTTTAAAAAAATATAAACATTCACACCTTTATATGTCCCTCTTAGTGCTATTTCCCCTGTGTCTTATTAAGTTTTGGTATGTTGTGTTTTATTTTCAATTATCTCACAACAGTTTCTAATTTTCCTTGTGATTTCTTCTTTGACCTATTTGTTTGGGAGTGTATTACTGAATTTCCCCAAATTTTCCAGTTTTGTTTCTACTATTAATTTCTAGTTTTATTCGATTGTAATAAGAAAATGCACTTTGTATTATTTCAGTCTTTTAAAATATATTAAGACTTGTTTTGTAGCCTAATGAATGTACAGTTTATCCTGGAGAATGTTCCATGTAGACTTGAGAAAAATGTGTATTGTGCTCCTGTTGAGTGGAGTGTTTTGTACATGTTTGTTAGGTCTATTTTTTTCTGTAGTGTTGTTCAATTTCTCTATTTCCCTTTTCTTACTGACATTTTGTATGGTTGTTATGTATATTACTAAAAGTGGGGTGCTGAAGTTTCCTTGTATTATAGTATAACTTTTATTTTTCTCTTCCATTTTGTCAGTGTTTGCTTCATTTATTTAAGAGCTCTGATGTTTGGTGCATAGACTTATTTTATCTGTTTTGGTTACTTGATTCTTTTATCATTACATAATGTCCTTCTTTGTCTCTTGAACAGTTTTTGACTTAAAGTCTATTTGTGTAATGTTGGTATAGATGCCTTATTTCCTTTTGGTTACTGTTTTCATGAAATATCTTTTATCACTCTTTCTATGTTGATTTATGTGTGTCCTTAGAGCCAAAGTGCTTGAAGACAGCATGAAGTTGGATCCTATATTATCATTTATTATACTAATTTGTATCTTTAGATAGGGGAACTTAATCCATTTGCATTTAAAGTAATTATTGATAGGGAAAGATTTACTTTTGCCGTTTGACTTTTGTTTTTTGACTGTCTTACTGCTTTCTTATCCTGCATTGCCTACATTACTCCCTTTTTAGTGTGTGTTTAATTGACTTAATGATTTGGTTCCCTTTTCATTGCCCTTTGTGTGTATTTAGATACATATTTTATGCTCTATAAAAGTTGTGAAGATATAAACCAAAATTACAATAATAGGTTTGTATATTTGTTCATATATTAATCTTTACTGGAAAACTTTATATAGTTGAATGGCTTTATGTTACTGCCTAATACCTTTTTGTTGGATGCATAGATTTAAAATATTTTTCCCCATTCTGTAGGTTGTCTGTTTACTTGGTTAATAATTTCTTGTGCTGTTGCATAAGTATTTAATACAGGATCAATATTAAAGCATACATTCCTTGGTGTGTCATGAACCATACAATTTGTGCCAAGTGCTTTAGAGATAAAACTCGTTTTAGGTTTCTACAGGGAGAGGCACCACAACTAATGGGAGAGAGTTACAAGGGCCTAAATTAGCCTTCAAAGGTCAAATACATATTTATGTTTTTAAAATTTGTTTTTAATTTGCATCAAATTAGTACCTAGTATGTTAAATTTAAGATGT